CCAAAATGAAATTATCTATTAGGGGAGAAGCAGCCATACTGTGGATATGGAACTGAGTAGGAGAGATAGAAGAAGCCTGTTGGCATTCTGAATCTGTCACATCAGTTCTGAATTATCCACGTTTGCAACTTCTCTTTTTATGAAAAAAGGAAAACCCTATTTGATTAAGTCACTGTTTCTATAACATGTGGTCAAATGCAATCCTAACCAATAAGGAAGTATGCAAAAATAGAAGGAAACAAAATCCAGTATATGTAGACTACACCATATTGCATCAGTCTGGCACCATGACTGGTGGATGCAAACACAATTCCGTGCTTCGTGCATTCATTGTGTAAGGTTATGCTCTTCCATCTAGCAGCAGTGCCTGAGCACAAACCTACCTGAACTGTATAGCAGATATATTTCAGCTATGCTACTACAACAAAGATTTGGCAAATTATATAACCTGTTGGGCAGATCTGACCTGTGGCCTGTTACTGTACAGACTGTAAGCTGAGAGATTTTGTTTTCTTCCTCCTTTTTAAAGGTTTTCAAAACAAACTGAAAAATAAATAAAAACAAAGAATATGCAACAGAGATCATATGGACCTTTAAAGCCTAAATATTTACTATCTGGTCTTTACAGAAAATGCGTGCTGACCCTTGTAGAAGGACAAGACAGAGAAGAGTCCAGTTTGCAAATATTGCTTAGGCCATTTTTATTATCCTTTGTTGGTCAATGAGTCATTATGTCCAAAACATGATCTGTGATGGAAGAACTCACTCAATGATTCTTTGACGAGGAATGGGCAGGAAATAGGGAAGAAGGTTGAATAGCATGGCTAATACTTTCCTTTCTTAAAAAGAAAGAATCTAGTTTTAAGTATAATGATGTCAGATATCCGGAAAATATCATACATCAGCTGGAGCCAAGTGTTGAAAAAGAAGTATCATTAAGCATTCCACAGAAAATTCTAGAAGGAATTAAATTTTGAATACCTCAGAAGTGCCTTTTAAGAAGACGTTCTTGTTACAGGTGGTACCAAGCTTTCATTCTCTAACTAAACACTTCCACTATTTATTTTCATTCCCATCACATGCTATGCTAACAACACTGGGTTAAAAACCATGAGTAGAAAGATAGTGATTTCCCTGATTTTCTATTCTCATTGCCTATAGAACCTAAAACTGGTGTTAGTCTTTATTTAGACACTTGAAAAATTATTTTAAACAATATGCAGAAATAAAGGCTTTCATTTTTATGACTCAAAGTCCTTTCTCATACACAATGGTAAGATTATAAATTATTAAAATTTTCCAGTTGTGTATTTTAGATAATTCTTCCCAACATGAAATCAGCTTAGTTGTAAGTCAACCTCGTACAACAGTTTTCTATGTGTATTGCTGTTAGCGAACTTTAACTCCTGCTTCATGAATGCTAGAGAATACCCTAGAGCCTGGGAACAAACAAACACAGAAGAGAAGGAAAACACGGATTTGATAAACTTTCAGATTTCTAAATATCTAAATTTTATTTAGTTTCTAGGATTTCTTATTGTTCTGTACATATGTTTTCCTTCTAAAGCATTTTATAAGTAAAGCTTTTCTTCTTGCTAAACAATATCCATTTAATTCCTGTTAGAATTTTGTCACTTCAGAGATTTCACAATGACACAATAAATTCTATGCTACAGTGGTCTTTCTATCATTTTAAAGCTAAGTGGATTTCCAAAAAAAATAACTATTGCATCAGCTGTTTTTATCTAATATTTTGAAGATACAAAATATTTGTCTTCAAATCAAAGATGTTAAAATACTTTTGTTCGTATTCTGAGCACAAAATTAACCTTCCTAAGAATCAGTCTCCAAGGTTTTCCATTATTAATATTTATCTTTCATATCAAATGTATACATTCATATAATTATAAAATTATGCAATTATTTTATGTAGATTAGTGAAGACTGCATGTGAATATCATAAAACAACACATTACAAAGTACTGTGATTACAGAAAATGATAATGGTGAACATCTGGATTGAGAAATTTAAATTTGCAAAAGACTGATATTTTCATAAAGCTTTTTTTTCTATGCATGTCTGAATTTCAACTGGTATTGACTGAAACCATTTATATGGAACAGGCTAATTAAATATAAATCTAAATATCTTGAACAGATTAAATGAATAAAACAGTTAGAAAATATAGTTATTTCTCTGTCTTTGTTATGTGGCTAATCAATAAAGAGCAGTTTCAGTGTTGCCTTTAAGGATATTCAGCAATATTAATGTTAGAGGATAAAATACGAATGGCCAAAGTGAAGAAACATTTTAAATTTGAATCCATCAAATGTTATTGGAGAGAAAAGGACTATATGCTTAAACTGCCAAAAATATCTTGAGCAGGTATTAATTTTATTTTACAAACTAAGTAAGCAGAATATCAATCTCTATTTTTAATTAACTGACATTCTATTTCCAATTTGAGGCCTCTGTCTGCTAAAAGCCCCTAATCTCTGTGAACTGAAGGACCCCCTTATTACACAAATTCAAGGTGGTATGTACCTTATCGGCAGGGCGGTTGTTCAAATATTTAACAGAATTGCAGTGGGACTTTAACCATTTTTAGTAGATGCCTAATCAATCAGGGTGAATACTGCTCAGTGCACACAGGCCTGGTCCACTGGTGTGGGCCTGCTGGGTATCTGCCATGATTTTAGAGACATGGAGTGGGCATAGGAGGAGGGCGGAATATTTGTCATCACCTACTTTGACATGCATTGAGAGGTCTCTTTTCTCTCTGGACTTTACCTACTGACTACACAGGTTAGTACTGCCCCTTTAGACACAAAATCTCTCCAGTCTGATTCTCCACTGAGCTCTCTCTTGAGCACAAAGGGAACATCCTTGTTCACCATTCTTCACCAGCATGAAGGAGACTTCGGCCTAGAAGTGCCATGCTACCATTTCTTCTCAACTACTATTGCATTGTGCCAGTCACACAGTTCTATGGCATTTCTCCTCCACTCTGGCTTTCCTGCATATGAATTCTGCAAATCTATGTCATGTCCTTGTTATTTTCTCTATCACAGAATTCATGGGAGGATCAGGGCAGAATGTGAGACCCCATTACCAAAATTAAAGAACCCTGACTCTTACTCTGATTATGCTATGGCAGTCTTTCCTTGTAGCTAAAGAGGAGAGAATTTCATTTCTAGATAGCACTTGACAAGGAGAGGGCTAAAGCTTAAAGAGAGTTGGGATATTGAAAAGTGGTCTCACTATTTGTATAATGTAGGACCAAAGCATTTATTATTGTTGTTTTTCCACATTCCTATATCTCTTCATTCATATGCACAATACTGAGATTTATCTTCCCTTTTCAAACACCTTTATTAAGATGTAATTGACATGACATAATTTGCCCATTTAAAATGTGCATTCCTGTGTTTTAAAACATATCAACAGAGTTGTGCAAGTATCATCACAATCTAATTTAAGAACATTTTCATCAACCCCCAAAAGACCATATATTCAATAAGAGTCATTCCTCATTCCCTTCCCTGTGACGCACCTTACCTAGCTCCTGGCACCCTCTCTCTGCTTTTCTATCTCTATAGATTTGCCTATTTTGCATCTTGTATATGAAGGGAATCATAAAACATGTGATCTTTTTTGATGAGCTTCTTTCCCTTAGCATGTTTTCCAGGTTCATCCATGTTGTAGCATGCATGAGTCCTTCATCCCTTTTTATTGCCAAATAATATTCCTCTATATGGGTTTATCACAATTTATGCATTAGAATTTTTCCTGTGAATCTTTTATTTTTAACTTATCTGCTGAGAACCTTGTCTATGCTGTAAGGAGTCTAGTAAAGAGTTTTGAAAGGATTTTGGGAGTTAACTAGTGAAATTGGCGAAAATTAGAAATGTAGCAGTAAATGATTATAACCTCTTCCTGTGGAAAAAGCGATCAGCTCAAAATAAAGAGAAGCAATTCTTGCAAATATTCAAGTATTCACTGTTTGAGAAACCTTAAAAAGACTGTCGAACATAAAGGAAATTAGTAAGCATTTGCCTCTAACAGCAAGATTTTCTTCAAAACTGTCTGCAAGACTTGAAAACGGATAAATGAAAATGGAAAATGGAACCAATAATTGTTATTTCAACATTATCAAGCAATGAAGATGATGTATTTTTTTTTCACATTAATTTCATACAACTATGTGGTTACTCTGGGGATGATATTAACATGTCAGCATACCCGGTTGCCTGAGGAGCACAGGTTGATATGAGAAGTTCTCGAAATATCACTACCAATATTCAGGGGACTGTTCATACCCCTTATGATAAGTGGGTATTAAAAAAAGTGGGCCATATGTAGCTATGGTCATATTTATTATTTATAATTTTGTTATAGTGGTATTTGTAATATGGAAAAAGCCTTCGGTGGATTCCAAGTTATAGTAGTACAACTATGATTAGGATTCATATATACTAAGGGTTTCTGAATGTGATATTATAAAGACAAATATCCTAACTCTATGAATGGATACAGTTTCTATCTTTCAGTCTCAAAGGAAAATATGTTCAATTATATGTGTAGTGCCTTAAAATATTAATAGAAATAACATAGTAACTAAAGCTTGATTTCTTCAATATTCCTTCTGTCTCAAAAGGTGTGAGATAATTTATTGGGGAAGGTCTTTTCCCTTTTAGTTCTATATTTTAAATAATTTTTTTCTCGAGTCATTTTTTTCTAGTGTTAACACAATCACATTGAAATAATTAACCTCACATTTTCTTCGTTCCATAAGTTAATTCACACTCCAAAACTGCATTTTAGGCTCTCTTTCACATACTCATATTTTTAAAAACACAAACAAAAGTTTTCAAATTTCTTAGGCTATTTGGGAAAAAAAAAAGAGAATGATCTAGAACAGCAGTCATCTGTGAAAACAACTGACATTTAGTTTGACATGTAAGATAAATCCGAATGGCATGAGAACCTTTCTACTCACAGGTATCTAAAGACTCGTCTGAATCATCAGGGCAGTCAGGGTCCCCATCACACAGCCAGCTCTGGGAGACACAAGTCACATGATCGTGGCAAAGAAATTCACCAGGATCACACAACTGCTGATCTGAAAATGAAAATGTTTCGAAATAAAATATGAATGATCTGAACATGGGCAGAAGGAGCAGTACAAAGATGAAATGTGAGAAAGCAATACATAAAAGGTACATGAATATGATCCACATTTTCTGTTCAGCAACAAAGACAAACCAATTATTTTTCTTAATTTTAACTACTCAGCTCAAACACACAATTTTAATACACTTGACTTTGTTATAGGTTCACACAATCTGTTCTGGAAATAGTCAAAAATTCTGTTTGTGTTTATGACTCGGGGCTTTATCGGATCAAAGACGGAATATAGATATTTCAGCAAGTAAGTTTTATATAAGATGTTGAATCAAAGCAGAGGCTCTTGAGCATAGAAATTTTAGTTTCTCAGCTCCGAGAGAAAGAAAAAATCAGTTGAGTTAAATATTAATATTATAGTTAAAAATCCATTTCTGAGATTCAGTTCTTAACTATCCATCCTGATACTGGGACTTCGTGTCTCTATGTGAGTTGGATACCCAATATCACAGTATTTTCTTTTCTTTTTTTTTTTTTTTTTTTTGCCATGACTTCCAAAGTGACAACTTCTGCTACTAGATGGCAGAAGTGATAGTAAACTTCCATAAGGTTTTTTTTTTTTTTTCTAACTCAGATGTTCTACAGTTGGTTGTGACTAAAATGTCTGCTGTTTTCCTTCCTTTGTTTCAGGATATTTGATATCTGCAGCTTTCCCTTAAGTCCTCTCAAACTTGTCAGATGTTTGTTTTTTTCACAACATATTTACTTATACCATGTGAGTCCCTTTAAAAACTAATTCTTCTCTACATCTTAGTATGCCTGAAATAGGAATGTTTCTTACAATCACGGTCTCTGAACGTGAAGAAGTGTTGGGAATATCTTAGCCATTATATTTCACTGGTAATTTTGTTATGTGTACATAAAAATAACTTAAGATAAAAAAAAAACAACATTAAATAGCTCTCGGTGAGCTCTTTCAATAAATATCAAATAAAAATTTTAAGTGATATGAAAGCATTAGGCCATAACTTAATTGACAATTTTGCCTGAGCAATATGGAAAATAATACTACATATTACTCTCAGTGGTATCCTAGATTTGATTTAATATGGTACATATTTCCTTTCTCTCCCTCAACTTCCCTCCTCCTGATACCAGCAGCATAAATTTCAGTAAATACGCGTTACAAGCACATATATCTTTAAAATCTACAGATGTGGGGTATAAGTGTAGCCTTTTCCATACTCAAGCTATAGTTATTTTATCCTATTATATTTTCATTAAGTTAACCACCAACAACATGCTCATCACCATCACTATCATATTGATTTTTTACATTAAGTTGCTTGAGCATACTTTGTATTTGGCCCCAGACTTGGTGCTGTAGAATCAAAGATGTAGAAGCCAGTCTTTGTCTTAAAGGATCAAATAGACTAGTTGTGTCTACAGATCTCACTCCCCAAAAAATGGTAAAAGAAGAGGCCACAGGAAGAGACAGGTTGAGACAAATTAAAAAAAAAAAATAGTTTTGGGATGCCTGCATTCCTCTCAAGATGGGTGGGCTTTGGATAAGTGGAATACAGGACATTCCAGATAAAGTTTAAACAGTTGCTAAGGTAATAACTATTGCGGTGCATTTGAGATAAAACACATTTTCTACTGAAATGGAAATGTCATTCAGGTTATAAGACCTGGGTTTTCCCCACCAAACAGGGGTGTGTGATATTTATAAGTATGCGTGAATGCTAGAGGAGGAGTGCTTACATTTTCCTTTAGGCTGTCACATAATTTTTGAAGTTAATGTAGAGAAAGAGCATGGAATAAAATTCAAATTATTTTACTTATAGATAAGGAGACCATATAATTTATCACCAAGCTGAGAGAGTTCTGAGACTGAAAGCAGGGTTATTAGTAATTACACTGGGACAACACGTATAAACCAAGTTTATCCCAGAAAAGTCAGAATGGATGTTAATTTTATCTATAGCTACTTTGTGTTTGATCTATGATCTTGAAATGCTAGATTTTACCTCATTCCTCCTAAACCATAAAAAATTGTTATGTGGAGAGGGGGAAATGTCATTCCATAGTGTATAACTCAGTGAATAATTGATAAGTGCTTGCTGAAAATATAAAGAAGTAAAGAAGACTATAAAAATGATTTATGGTGTTGGAATAGAGCATCTTAAAAACCTAGGTCAAGATCAGTTATGAAGGACCTTGATTGCCATTAGAAGTATTCTGTCTGTAATTTGAAGCCATGGAAAATACTTAAGAAAAGGTAATTAATAATAAAACATGCTACAAAGCCATCTCCTAGGAGACTCTTACAGTTCTCTAGAGAAGAGTTCAAGATGATTGGACTAAGGTATTGGGGAATTAAATGAATTCTAATGAATTCTAATCATAAACACTCTGATCCAAGTGATGTGACATATGAGTTAAGAATTGGTGACTAAATATTTGAAAGGCCCCAATATGTCTTCAAGTATATAAACTTAAACAATGGATGGCGTCATAAGATCAAGTTATGATATGTAGATAGAAAAAAAAAAAAAAGGCTGGTTTCATGTGTACATATGTCTGTGAACCTGCTTACGGTGGGGAGTGGAATAATAGTAGAAATAACAGAAGAATAAATAGTGAATGTTTTATAGTGCTATGTAGTGCAAAAAGCACCACCCCATCTCAATTTGTTCATTCATTTATTTATGTCACACATATTATTGAACTTCTACTGTGTTCTAGGCACTAGGGATACCATAATGAAAATAAATAAATAAAAATAGAGCAGAATGCCTGTGATCATGGATCTTACATTATAAAGGGAGGAGAGAAACAAAAACGAAACAAATGAGCTAAGTGTATAGCATATTAAAAGACAAACCTTATTGAGAAAAGTAGAACACAGATGGGGGACTGACAGAGTTTGGAGGCAGGTACATTTCAAATAGGTGGTCAGAGTATATGTCACAGAGAATATGACATTTGAATAAAGGCTGAAGTAAGGTGAGAGTGACACCCACTTGAATTAAAGGTCAAGGGCTAAGGATTTGAGGCAGGAGGGTGCTCAGCAAATTTAAGGAACACAAAAGAGGTCAATGTGCCTGCAGATAAAGATAAATTAGGAAAAGATGTGGTAAGGGGAGTATGGGATTCCAGAGATCAGGTAATTTTTTTTTTTTTTTTTTAACTAAAAACCAAACAAATAAAAAACAGGATGGAGGACCATTAAAAGATTCTGAGGAGTGTAACAGTGTTAACAACTTTTCCATTCCCGTAGTTCTGCAAGTGACAGGGAGGGTTACAGCTCATTGACTCCTGCAGTCAGCAGCTCAGTGGGCGGGAGCGTTATAGCTCTTTGCTTCCGCCATTCAGAGAGTTCTGGGTTCTTGTGCCACAACCAATAATAAGGCATGCAGACTGGAGACGGTTAAGGCAGAGATTTATTAAGTGACAGAAAAGATGTCAGTAGCAAGAGGGGGCCCAAAAGAGGGTTGCCTGCTGTGGGGCTAGGTTTGGGGTTTTTATGGGCTGAGAATGAGGAAGAGTAGGTTGACTGGTCTATGAGCCGTTTTTGAAAATGCAACACTCAGGAAGAGACAGGATAGTGTAAAGAACCAATTGGAGGCAGAAGTGAAGGCTTGGCCCACAACCAATTGATAGCTTTAGTGACATTTCACTTTTTGCAAATGAAGAATGTGTCTGTGGCCAATCACAGAAAGATAGATATATGTAAAACAGATGAAAGGTAAGAGATAATCGGGAGGAAGAGTACAAAATGGGACAAAGGCACCAAGGGGAGATAAATGTGCCCCCAAAATAGTGAAATTTCTTCATCCGGGCTCACAGAGTGGATGTTTCCATATAGGGATGTGGGCTTTTTCTTATCTGGGTCCCGCAGCTTGATTTTCAGGCTGTTTTTGATTTGAAGGAGTTCTACTGAGGACCTGCCCTGACTGCCTGACTCAGTGGTTTCTTTCTTCCTCCTCTCTCATCAGGATCTGGCTTATTTTTTTTAAGAATAATTTTGTCTACTATGTTGAGAAGATATACTGCAGTGAAGTGAAGGTGGAAGCAGGGAGATCAACTAGAATTTTATTGCAACGATCCAGGTGAGAGGAGATGGTACTGTGGAAAAACACATTGGTTGAATGGAATTTCAAGACTGTATTTAAATAGGAAACTGAAGTCAAATATTATATTAACCATCGAATAAATGCCAGGATCTTAAATTCAGATATTTGAACCCAAATCTATAACTTTTCAACCATTTAAAAAATATACGGATTATGGGATGTTTTGGAGACATCCAAGAAGAAATATCTAATAGTGAAATATTTAAGTCTATAATTCAGCAGACTGGGTAAAAATGGAAACAAAAGAGAACTGGGGCTAAAAGAAGTTAGTGAAAAACTATAGGAATAGGAAAAGAAATAGCTGTAGACTAAATTAAAGTGAGAGGAGGGTGGGGGATGAATAGGCAGTCAAAAGAAAGAGGCAAAGAGGTAAGGGTAGGTCAGGCAGGGAGACAGAGGAAACAAGGTCCAGCCACAGATACAGGAGGAGGATGCATGGGGAAAGGAGATTTACTAAAGTTATGTGAAATTCTGATAACTGAATCACTCATGACAAAGTTCAAGCACAGTGAGTTCTAAAAATTTAGAGTAGACGCATAGGCTGAGGGAAAGATATCAGTAGAGAAGAGAGACTGGAGGCCTAAGAAGAAGGTGAAAGTAGAGCTATGTGCCGGAGAAAAACTTGTAGAGGTGGAATAAGAACTGAAACAATAGTAGAAACACTTGCCCTGAGGAAAAAGGATGGAAAAATGAAATAGATCGATTTTTTTGCTGGTAGGGAAGAAAGTTAACATAGTCATAGTCGGTTGTGTTTTCTCAAAGAACTGAGAAGCAGGATTAGTTTTAGAAATCTGAAGAAGGTAGTAAGAGGTGAAGCCAGTGGGACTTCCTGGGTCGAGTGAGGACTTGGAGGACTTTT